TTTCACCATTGCATAAATTAAAAAGCCAAAATGTGCTTTTTACTGTTTTGTCTTGCTTTTCATAGAAAAAAATCAATTACAAAACAACAATTTAAAAATATTTAACACTGAACATTTTTAACATTCTAGCAGACACTATACCAACAAAGCACAATTTAACTTAAAATTAATAAGTTAGTAAAATAATAATTTTTGGCCATCAGACCCCCTTCTTGGGGGGGGGTCTTCTTTTTTTTTACTGTACAATTAAAAGCAACCTTGCTGAGAAGAGACTTCTTTTAAAACATTAGAATATATTACAGATCCTAATTTGAACACTATGTGTGAATGTTATAATAAATGTATTAAAACAGAGCTGTTGTAATGATTATTATCATTATTATTGTCTTTTTATTTTATTTTACAAAACAACAGTAAAATTACAATACTAACCTTTATGAATGTTGATAAGTGTTCTTGCTTTTTTTCAACTTTAACCCCTGTGGTGCCTCACTTTGCCTTCAGTGTGGTATGGAAGAGGAGGGATTCTTTAAAGGAGCCCATTTACTGCCTCCCACACCATTTTGCTACTATTTAGGGTTGTTTTTTCCAAATCCACCCAACCCTTTACTTCCCAAGATTTTCAGACACTTCACCAACGTGGAAGGAAGTTTATGGTTCCTTAAAGAACCTTAAATACCCTTGTGCTTTTACAATAGTATAGTTAGACACTTAATATTTATAGGTGTATATGAGTGTTTGTGGATTGAATTAAACACAGTAGTTGTGAAAGTCAGTTGAAAGAATGAGTTTTTCTATGATCGTAAAATCCAAAGAACTAACTGTTTTGCTGTTGTCCACTAGGTGGGACTAGCAAGACATTTTTCCAAGCAAGCATACTTCATGTTCACCATACAAGATTCATTTGCTGTATCTCAAGATTTTGAATATGCATTTTTTTTCCTTGGAGAGTGCTTATCTACAATTTAAAGTAAAAAGGCTTAATATAACAAATAAATAATCAACATATATATTTTGGAAAAGCTTTACAACAGTTTGTGTAAAGTTCACCCAAAAATGAAAATTCTGTCATCGTTTACTCACGCTGCTCTTGTTCCAAACCAAAAGTCAATGGCTACCATCAACTGTTTCCATACTCGTTCTATTTTTGAACAAGCGGAGGGGGAGTAAATAATGACAGAACTTTCATTTTTGGTGAACTATCCCTTTAATACATTAGGTGTCATTTTTAGTTCAAACTCGTCTCTTAATACATTAAATATAAATTTGTATTAGTGTGTGGACATTAACAATCTAATTGTTAGTTCATTGATAACTAATGCTAACAAATATACCATTTATACTGGTGGATGTTTATTTCATTTAATTTCTTATTTTATTTTACTTTATTCTTTTTTCCCAAACAAAGGGCTTCAATCACAGGAACAAATAAAAGCAATTGGTCTCTAGAGGCTCACAAAAACCTCATCAGTGCAATCTTTGTCCCTTTCTCTCTCTCTGATGTCTTCATCAAAGCCTTTTTCCTCTAAAAGAGGAGCAGAATTCTGGGATGCTATTGTTCCCTCTGATTAAACAGCTTCAGATGATCAGAAACACCTCTCAAATACAAGAGCAGCCTCTGGATACAAGAGCAGAATCATTTACACCCTATATAGGTTTCTATGGGTTTAAGCGACAAAGCAGATTACACACTTCATCCACAGTAATGCTTAGCTCAAAATTCTGTTGACAGTGATGGTTTGGTGACAGCTCCAGTATAATGATAAACCCATTATCTTGACTGTTTAAACTGGCCAGATCTCTTATAAATCTTGTCCAATACTAGTTTCTTCTTCTGTTGACAAAAAAGCTGCGATGACCTCGATTTCAGCTGCCAAGGGAGTCTCTCTATGTCTGTCCCTTTCTCAAAATATCCTCCAGCGTTTTCGCATTCACTGCAGTAGTCTTGTTAAAGCGTCATGGAGGTGAAGGACAGGGGGGTGTAGAGAGGTGCCGTCGAGCCCACTCTGTCACAGAGACAGCAGTGATGCTGTTGAGCTCCCCCTGCCCCTGAAGGCCAGG